TGATCCTATAGGACCCTCCCCTATCCATATATATAAGACCTCAAAAGATCACTATTAAAGTGGGCACGGATCTCTAAAAACATTATCACATGGGTGTGGGATTTGACTTTTTTATAGATCCATATCAAATTTAATAGTGATCTTTTAAGGTGCTACACATATGATGGGGGTTTGATGTAATTTCAAATACCCTTCAATTACAATTGACTATTGATTGAATATTTGGAAAAAAAAAGATAAAATTTTAAGCAGTTGATTAAGTGTATTCGACTCAGTGACCCTATACACAATCAACTGTATTCGACTCATTGACCCTATACACATATATGCAACGACTCATTGACCCTGATATCTTCCATTTATAAAAGACTCTTCTCTAACTCTCTTACTTCATCTTTCTAAATTCTAAATGCACCTGATTTGCGTGCCCTTCACTCTTACTTGACATATTTCTCTGTCCTTATCTTGCAGTTCATTAGCTTTACCTGCTAGTCTTTTTTTTTTTGTCCGGAGGGCCGCTATGTTGGTCCCCCTCCTCCTGTTTTAGTGGTCAAAGAATCAGTCACACACGCTACCTGCCTGTCTTTTTTTTTATTTGTCCGGAGGGCGGCTATGTTGGTCCCCCTCCTCCCAAAGAATCAGTCACACACGCCTTCTTGCCTTGATGAATAACTTTATGAAAGAATATAACAATAATATGATAAAATACAAAGGCTTAAAAACTTGTCCCTGTCTAGGTACTTGAACTTTGGCCGAGGCAAGTGCCTGGACCGAATTGACTTGGACAACAAAAAAATACAAAAAATAATAATATTTAAAAGTCATAATAAAAAAATATATAAAAAAAAACTGGTTTATACGTGTGGGATGCATAACTACTACATTTGCATCCCCTAAGGGACCATCTATCTTCTATCTTAAAGATAGACGTGGGTTTGTGGTTTTTTTGAAAAAATTTAAAATAAGGGTTTATAATTTTTTTCAAAAATTGTCATTTTAGTTTTTAAACTTTATTTATTTTTACGCATTTATGATCTCCATGTTAGAGATTATGTATTATCATCATCATCATAGTTTTTTTCCAATTGATCATCATCATTTTAGCATTTTCCAAATTATTTGAGGTCGACGACATGAATCTTGATTTTCCATTCTGTTATATTAAATGTCATATTCCCAGTGTGGTCATAAGTTCCCATATTTTTTCAAACTACTTCCAATTACGTCTTTTTAGGTACCACTTGTCATTTTCAATCATTTCATTTGAACTAACTCGCACCTCCTAACAAGTGTTATACTTAGTTGGCACCATATATGGGCAGCTCATCTAAGTCTACTTTTTCTCATTTTATCGCTAATTGGGTATTTTGATAAATCTTTAAAATTTAATAAAAAAAAAAAATGAAAGTTCTCAAATCATCTACAAAAATCATCTAAAAATTTATTTCTAACAAATATAGTGGTATTTCCCAATTGTTATATATTTTCCATTTTTATATAATTTTACTTACATTTATAAAGGTGGGCCGAGTTGTCGTGGAACTCGCTCCTACTCAGCCGTTCCCATAGTGGCAGGTTGAGAAAGTCCGATTGAACTCGGGCAAGTAATGGAATGCTGGAAAAAAGTTTATGGATTCGCTTCATGAATAAGTATAAAATTTTAAAAGTTGCAGCTTCTATAGCCTCGAGGCTTTATGAAAGACAAAGTAAAGCCACACAGAATTCTCGTCCGGAAAGCACTTTGGGCATCAAAAATCTCCATGATAGCTCTAAAATAAATTTCCAATATTGATTATGAAATTTTGAAGCTAAAAACAAGTACGCATCTTGTGGATCTGTGAACAATTATTTTCAGGGCGAAATGAATGGTCCAGATAATATCTTATAATATACAATTTTTTTAGGGGTTAATATCCTAATTTTTTTTTATAACCATAATGGTTAAGACCGAGATGATCGATGCGAAAGTTTTCGATGCCAGAACTACTGAGTTTTGTGGTGATGCTTTACTTAATATGATAGGATTTTAGTCCTATTAAAATATTTTTCAATTTTAAAATTTTCATATGATAATGAGTCGATCTACATTTAACGATATTTTCATTTCTAAGATTTAAGAAAAATTATGTCCTTACCTTATTTAAATATGGTAATTACATGAAAGTCCAAATATTTGCAAATTTTACAAGCAATTCATTTATTTGTTTTCTAATTTTGCCCCTTGGTCCAATGTTGGAAGGGTGTAATTTGCATACGAATGCATTCGTTGGTGTAGAGGTAAGGTACACCTTCAAATTTTATCATGGTATATAATTTCGATGTAAAATATTCTTAGGATTATCTCAAAATCTATTTTGATATTTAATTATGAAATTTTAAATTTAAAAAATAGTTAAAATCAAGTAGATCTATAAACATATGAAAATCTTGAAAATGGACGGTGTAGATAATATGTTGTAAAATGCACCATTTCCGAGACTTAATCTTTTTATTTTTCATAGTCAAACATCTCGATGTTGAGATGATCAATCAAATGGCTTTTCAACATTAAAACTACCTTTTCCAATTGATTTTTGAGAGGCATCCGTAATTTTACATCGTAAGGTAGCATCCTTATATAAACTTTTTCCATGTTGGAAACATCACATTATTATTTTTATTTTATTTTATTTTTAATTTTTTTTTGAATTATATATATATATGTATGTATGTATGTATGTATGTATGTATGTATAGTTATTTATTTATTATTATTATTTTTTTATATCACCCCCTTTGTTTTGGTAAAAGATTACTTACAAGTGGTCTTATTACAACAACATGTATTTCAAAATAAAATCAACATGACAATAAAACCAAGATCTTAAAACTTGATGC